CAAAAAAAAGCAAAGAGAAAAAATCCAAAAAAACAACAAAAAGAAGAAAACCCAAAAAAGAGCGACAGAAGAATGGAGTTTGCAACAATTATCATCTTTCATTAGAAGTTGAATAATTGAAGTCTTCCCTCGTCCGCTGTTAGCCTCAAGAAACGGGACGCTGCTTCCTGCAGGCCAGACCGGCGAACTACTGTTCTTTGATAACAAGGTCTTCCTATTTCTCTCTGATCTTTATTTTTTGAATATATATCACTTGCTTTTTTTTTCAGGTAAATATTCTCTTAACGCATTCACTAGGCTAAAGTGCTAAATTATTTTACGGTGAATCCAACATTGAAAAATATTTTTTAATGTATATTTAATATCTTAAATTTTTTTTTGATATAATTAGTATTTTAAAGTATTTTTTAGGTGTGTTCAGTGTCATAAAATATTTTTTAGTAGATCCAGTATTAAAGCAAAAAATTATTTAAACTGCTAGATGCACTTTTGTAAGATACTTTAAAGTGCTAAATGTATTTGGAAAAAAATGAAAGAATTATAATGAGGTCTCAAAGAAAAAAAATAATTACAAAACAAGTATCATAAGTGCTAGATGTATCTGAAAAAAATGGGAGAATTATAATAACGTTTCAAAAAAAAAAAATTACAAAACAAGTTTTAGAAGTTGTCATTTAATATCATGAGATTTATTATTATAGACTGATTCGGTTGTTATTAGGGCTTATTACAAAACAAGTTTTAGAAGTTGTCATTTAATATTATGAGACTTGCTATTACAGACTGATTCGGTTGTTATTAGGGCTTATTACAAAACAAGTTTTAGAAGTTGTCATTTAATATTATGAAACTTGTTATTACAGACTGATTCGGTTGTTATTAGGGCTTTTTACTAATTTTTTGTTGGGACCTCGTTATAATTCCCCATGCAACTTGTTTTTATTTATTTATTTATTGTGTTCTTCATGCTAATCATCCCTTCGTATTTGTCTTCTGCGTAGTACTTTAGTATTTCATCATTTCATTCCCTCACGATTTTAAATTCATGGCATCTAAATTTTTCATATATTTAGTAGAATGTATGCGTTTGTCTAAATTTATAAAGCAATTAGTATTCTTTTTCTAGCAATCAATACCCTTGATATTAACAAAGTACACTTATCGTAGAGAGGGATCAAGAGAGATGACTACAATTTTTTTTTTTGGGTGAAAGAGATGACTAAAATTGAGTTAGAACTTTTTGCAAATATTGGATAGTCTTCTGATGTATTATTTTCTCCCATATTGTCAACTAGCTTCAGTGACTCAAAAGTAGTACTCTCTCCTGTCTCTTGTCTTGAATATAAAACTTATTTTATAATGTAATTTACATTATAAAATGGGTCTTATATTTGTGATCGGAGGAGTATATTTTTAGAATTAAAAGTGGTGTGAAATCAAATCCTGACCAATTTTTTGCAAAAAATTCGCCAATCCAATCTAAAGTACTTTGTAGTTTATCTAACCCATGAAGATTTTTTTTTCTTTTTTAAGTGTGTATAGCATTTTGAAATATTTTTTTCAGGTGTATTTAATATTTTAAAATATTTTGTGATTCAATTTTATTTCTTAAATACTTTTCAGAAGCACTTTTAATTTTATTATTAACTCCCAAAAGGTCCGTTGAGTAAAGGTAGTTATCTTTCATGTTTTCAGTATTGAAATAATCAAAGATTAAGGTTGAAAACATAATAAGATAAGTCTAGAAAATACTGAACATGATTACTGAGAATTTGCAAAACTAATTATTAAAAGTGTTAAAATGAATACTAAAAATATGAAAGATAACTACAAAACATATGAAAAACAGTGATAAAAAAATTAACTGAAAAAAATTTTAAGAATAAAATTATATCACAAAATATTTTAAGATATTGGAAGTATCTAAAAAAAAAAACTCCTTCGATCCTTAATATAAGACCCATTTAACTAATTTGATTAGATTAAAAAAGTTAGGTAAGTTAGTTAATTATAAGAAATGTGACATATTTTTCCTAGAACACTATAATCATCTTTCTTAATATCCTCTTTTCCTCTTCTACTTGATTGTGGTTGAAGGAGTATTCACAGGGATAATTTAGAAAAAATTAATAAATATAATAAATATGTATTATATTTAGGATCAAAATCAACTCAATAATTAAATCTTATATTAAGGATCGGAAAAGTATTTCAAGATAGATTAATCATCAATCCAATATAAATTATTTTTTTGGGTCAAAATCCAATATATTTAACTGCCAATACTGTTTTGGTGGCTCCCCGATCTAGGTAGGCTTAAAGACAGAAGGGGCTTTGGTCTTTTTATCTTTGCATTGTGCATACCCTGTGAAAAATGCACCCGATTTACATATGCACTGAACATTTTCTTTTTGGCAAAAAGTTTACTTTTGGTGTTTTCTTGATACTTTAATTTTATAAAGTGCTTTCTAATCTTCTAACCCTAGTACTTTTAGTTTTATTATAAACAATGTCGCCATTAAAAATTTAAATATTAAGAAAACATTTATAAATGGCGACATTTGATGATTGGCACGAAAATTATCATTTGAAATTAATGTTATTAGAGTTTGGAAAATTGAAAATGTACTTTATAAAATTAAGGTACTAAACCAAAACATTGTATAAAATTATAGAACTAAATGTGCAATCTTCTCTATTTTAAGACTTAATTTATTTATTTTTTTGGGCCCAAATTAAAAACCAATGAAATGGCACAAGACGGTAATCCAAAAGCATTTTATAACAAAAGTTCTTTTAATTTACTTTTTAAACTAAAAATAGACTCAACAGTCTTACTTATAAAAGTGCCGACCATATTTGCACTTGACCAATTGCCCTCGGCGAAAGAGAATCAACTCACTCGGAGTGATTCTTCCGTGAAAAATTGTGGGAAAAATTTAATTTGGAAGTCCTCATAATTTTAACAAAATTTTAATCACGTCTATGTAATTTTTTAATCAGGTTTTTATAGTTTCATTTAATTTTTAATCAGATGCATGTAAATGTTTTTTCAATCAAATCTTTTACTGGACTTTCATTGCTGGTCATGGAGTTAATAGTTTTTTTCCCGTTAAAAGAGGGGCAGTAAAATTAATTCACCAAATCCTGAAATCATATTTTATTCCTTTGGATGTGTCTATCATTTTCTATGTTGGGTGACTGATTTCGGTTTTGAATAATTCAGGGATATTAACTGTCTTTTTCACTATATACAACCTATTAACTAAAAATTTTATTCTTTTACATTTTTTTAATAGTTGAAAACTATGAATTTATATTATTTATATCTGAGTAACAGTATAATTTTGTTGAATTTTTATGTAATTCTTAATTTTTTAATCTATATATTTATTATGTGCCAATTTTTTTGAGTTATTCATTGTTAACTTATTTTAATAATTCACATCAGTATGAATGAACAATTATACTAATGAAATATAAATTACTAATGAAATATAAATTGTTATAAGATATAAAGTTTACAAACAAATTATGTTATTTATGACGACTAGCGGTATAATTTTCTGGAATTTTTAGTTTTTTTTTTCCATGTATTTTCTTAGAATGTGCCAGTTTTCATATTTAGTCCCAAACAACGGAAAAGAGAGGGGCTTATAAGCTAGGACAATTCACTCAGACCAAAATGAATAAACACAAGGACATATCAGACTGTAATAAGAAGAAGAGAAAAGTAGTCCATCTCCATGTGATGATTTGTAATTTGTTTTATGGCATCATGTTTCGGGTACCAATTATGATATTCCTTCAAAAATTCAATCTTTGAAGTCTTCCCTCCTCCATTAGCTATTTCTGTTTAATCTTTACTTTATGAACATGCATCACTTGCTTTTTTCACTGTGTTCCTCGTGTTGATCATCCCTTTGTATTTGTCTTCTATGTAGTACTTGCTCAACGACTTCTGTGCAAAACCATGGCGTTCCTTCCGTTAATGTTCTAGTTCATCCTTGTTTACCGTCTATTTTCCTATCTCAGAAATAAAGTTGTTATAGTGTACCATGAGAAAACAGAAAGGAGAAAACTAAAAAGATAGAGAACAAAAGAATGGAGTTTATAGTGACCATTTTTGGGACAGTGTTCAATGGTATGGTAGAACCTGTTAAACGACAACTAGGTTACCTTTGCAACTACAGAAGCAATGTTCAGGAGCTACGAAGCCATGTAAAGGAACTCCAAGATCAAAGGGCAAGTGTGATAGTTCGAGTTCGAGGTGCTGAAAGAAATGGTGAGAACATTCACGATGTTGTCACCAATTGGTTGACGAAGACAAGTGAGAAGATTGCAGAAATTGAGGAGTTTCAAAGCGATGAAGGCCACCAGAAGACGAGGTGCTCCTATGGTTCATTTCCTAACTTGAAGATAAGGCATAAGCTTGGCAGACAAGCAAGGAAGATGATCCCACACTGTGTTGATCTGCTGCAGCAATCAAACTTTGCCGCTTTTCTTATCGTCCAGAGCCGAAGCATCGGATGTTGCTCTTTATGATGATGGTTATGAGCCATTTAAATCAAGAGATGCCATTGCAGTACAGGTTATGAAAGCGCTAGGTGATCCCACAATTAAAATGATTGGTATCTATGGTCAGGGAGGTGTTGGCAAAACCACTTTAGTTAAAGCAGTTGCAAGGAAGGTGAAAGCAGAAAAGCTATTCAATGTTGTGGTTATGGCAAATATTACGAGCACTCCTGATGTAAGAAAGATTCAAGGAGAGATAGCGGATATGCTAGGCTTGAGATTGGATGACGAGAGTGAGATTGGAAGAGCTGGTCGTTTAAAACAGAGATTCAAGAAGGAGAAGGAGAACACCTTAGTCATCTTGGATGATCTTTGGGCTGGACTTGACTTGAGTCTATTGGGAATTCAATTGAAGGATGATGACATGAATCAGAAAAAAATTCCAAATATGCTAATATTGGTATGACCAGTTGAAAGACGATAAGATGGCAAGTGATTCCAAAAAGTTCAAGATTTTGTTGACTTCTCGACACAAAGAGGTATTGTCAAGTGAAATGGAAGTAAAGGATTCAATTTTTAAAGTGAATGTCATGGAGGAAGAAGAATCAGAGATGCTGTTCAACAAGGTGGCTGGAATAACTGATGAAGATTCTGAGCTGAAATCAATATCAACTAAAATTGTTCTTAAATGTGCAAATTTGCCATTGGCAATAGAAGCAGCTGGAAAAGCTTTAAAGAATAATAAGAACAAAGTTGCTTGGGAAAATGCGCTGCAACAATTGGAGAAGCAAGAAATGATTGAAGTATTAGAACCTGTGGAGTTTTCTACGATGTTAAGTTATGATCGCTTACAAAGTGAAGAGCTGAAGTCTATTTTCTTGCTTTGTGCTCGCTTGGGTAAGGATCCATCAATTATGTATTTGGTGAAATATTGCATTGGTTTAAGGATATTTCAAGAAGTCAACACGATGAAAGAAGTTCGAGGTAGAACAAATGAATCTATCAAGAAGTTAAAAGACTCAAGCTTGTTGCTGGATACTAATTCTCCTGATTGTGTTGCTATGCATGATATGATCCGTGATGCCGCCTTATCAATAGCTTACAAGCATAATGGTGTTTTTACTCGAAGATATGCTGAACTTGATGAATGGCCTGATAGAGAAACATTTGAAAAGTATACTGTTATCTCCTTGCACTACTGCGACATCATTGATGGGATTCCAGAAGGTATAAATTGCCCTCAGCTCAAAGTCTTCCATCTTGATAGTAAGGATCCTTTCATGAAAATACCAGACAAGCTTTTTGAAGGAATGAAAGAATTAAGAGTGTTAATATTGATTGGTATTGATCTATCAGGCTTCCCTTCTTCAATTAAATGCCTAATAAAGCTTAGAATGCTTTGTTTGGAGAAATGTGTGCTAGGTGACAACATATCAATCATTGGTGAGTTGAAGAAGTTAAGAATTCTAAGCCTTTTGGGATCTAAATTTGAATTATTGCCCAGTGAATTAAGGCAGCTAGGAATGCTACAATTGTTGGACATCAGTTCTTGTACTAAACTTAAAGTGATTCCATCTAATGTCATGTCAAAGTTGAATAGGTTGGAAGAGTTGTATATGGGAAAAACCTTGATCCCATGGGGTGTTGAAAGAAAAACAAATCACAATGAAATTGCTAGCCTTGCTGAATTGGAATCTCTTCAACAATTGAGAAATCTTGATATACACATAGAAGATATTACAACTTTGCCTAGTAGCTTGGACTTTGACAAGTTAGATAGCTATAAAATTGTGATTGGGGACTCTAAGATGCTTTTGTTGGAAGATTTTCAGATGCCTTATCAATACAAGGCTTCAAGAGTCTTGGCATTGCATCTAAAAAAGGATATTGACATTCATTCGCAAAGGTGGGTTAAAATATTGTTGAAAAATGTTGAACAGTTGCTTTTAGGGGAAGTAGATGGTCTTCAGAATCTTACCTATGAGTTAGATGTAGAAGGATTTCAAAGTCTTAAGCATTTAACCATTGAAAAAAATTGTGACATCAAGAATATAATCTACTCAACAAAGTGGGAATATCAGGTGAAGGCTTTTCCCTGGTTGGAGTCAATGTGTTTGTACAAATTGGAGAGCCTAGAGAAAATTTGCAATTGTCAACTCGGAGATGTCTCTTTCCAAAGTCTAAAAACCATGAGGATCAACATTTGTGGCAGACTAAAATATCTCTTCTCATTGGACATGACTAGACTTCTCGTAAAGCTTGAAACACTTGAAGTTTCTGAATGTGATTCTTTGGAGTATCTTGTTTTTGCGGAAAGACAGGAGAATATTGGTAATGATACAGAAGATGATAGAATTTCATTACCCCAATTACGCTATTTGACATTGCAATCTTCATCAAAATTAACATGGTTCTACGCAAATGACAAGACGGAGAGTGCCACAAATTGTATTCCACTATTTAATGCAGAGGTATGTACGTAATGAACTTTCAATACATATATTTCTCTTTACTCTTGAATTTATACATTTTAGATTATATTTACTTTAAAATCAAGGGAGTTGGCATGGCTTTTAAAATTTTACTTTCTAACAAAACTTGTTATGAAGATCATAATCAGTTACTTTGGAGGTTGAAATTTCTTGTGCGCTTTTTGCAGGTATCAGTTCCCACCTAGAGAGCTTAGAGTTATCCTCAATCAATATCAAGAAGGTGTGGGGTGACCAACCAGTGCCTAGTTCCTCCTTTCAACATTTGACCGAACTAAATGTGAATGAATGTGGTGATTTAAAATATTTATTTTCATTATCAGTGGTTGGGAATTTAATGAAATTAAAAAGCCTTTTTGTAAGTGGATGTGATATGATGAAGGATATTTTTGACCCAGCAGATATTTGTGCAAGTCAGGTATGCAGTTGCATGGGCTTTGATTAGACACAAAACTAGGCATTATTTTCTTTTGTTATTTTGGTTAAAAATGACTACTTTGATTCATACACAGGATGTTGACATCTTTCCACAATTAAAGGAAATTGAAGTCAACAACATGGAGGAATTGAAAACCATATGGCATGCTCGAGCCAGCATAAATTCCTTTTGCAATTTGGAATCTATGATAATTGGAGACTGCCACAAACTTGTCACTATATTCCCTCCTTACATGGTAGGAAGATTTCATAATCTGGGCATATTGGAGGTTATTGATTGTAAGTCAGTGGAAGAGATATTCAACTTCCACCAGCCTACACCACAAATAAGTGGCGAGGATGAAACAAGCTTGCGAGTTGTTAAATTACAAAGGCTGCCAAAGCTGAAGCATGTGTGGAACAAGGATCCGCAAGGACTTTTGAACTTTCAAATTCTGCAAGACGTTTTTGTCTGTGACTGCCCAAGCCTAGAAAATCTGTTTCCATTTTCTATTGCCAATGATCTTACGAAACTAGAGAAGCTTCGAATCTTGCGTTGTGATGGCATGAAGGAAATTGTAGCTAAAGGTGACGTATCAGATATAAGCAACTTAGTGTTTAAGTATCCTAAGCTAAAAGGTCTTGGATTAGTCCATCTACCAGAGCTAAGGTGTTTCTATCGGGGAACACATGCTATAGAGCTCCAGGCATTGACTTGTTTGTTCCTTGGTCATTGTGATAAGTTGGAAGCATTTGGTACTGAAACAACGCATTCTGAAATGAAACCAATTTTCTCATCGTTAGCAAAGGTACAATAACAACTATCATTGACAGGATATTTGGAAATAGAAATAAATTTCTAAAAAGTAGTATATATGCTTTACTTACACTTGGGTCTCATTCTTTCCTTTTTCTTTGTATGATGGCAAAAAAGTACATAAGCATGTATCTAAGATTTTCTTAATTTAGTTACTATAAATGTTTAATTTCTTCTTCTAAAATTGTACTTTTTCCCATGATGATTTGTAGGTGATATCCAACTTGGAGGTACTAGGAATATATGGGCTGAAGGAAAGGAAGTGGTTGCAGGACACCATTGGCAATAATGTTTATCTAATGCGCAACACAAAAGAACTACACTTTGAGCGATTGAGCAGCATAGAAATTCTCTTTTGGTTCCTCCACATATTTCCTAATCTAGAAAGCTTAAATTTGTTCAATTCTGTTCTCAAAGAGGTATTGTCTGATGGAAGTCATGCTTTCCTCGAGAAAATTGGAACTGTCGTACGGCTTAAAAACATGAGTTTATGGTATTCAGATATTCCATTGAATATAGGCTTTGAAAATGGTGCCATTCTTCAAAGAGTTGAGAAGCTATGCATCGTGGAATGTCACTATTTGGCAAACTTAACCCCTTCCTCCCTAGCGTTGACTCAATTGTCACATCTTGAAGTCAGCAATTGCAACAAATTAAAGAGTTTATTGACATCATCAACTGCAAAAACCTTAGTTCAACTCACCATGATGAAGGTCTCTCAATGTGCAATGATGGAGGAAATTGTTACCGTAGAGGAGAATGAAGAAGTGAAACAAGATGAGATTGTTTTTGGCAAATTGAGAAGTTTAGAACTTGTATCTCTAAGAAACCTCTCCAGTTTTTGTAATTCCCAATGTAAACTTGTCTTCCAGTGTCCGTTACTTGAAGAGGTGAAAGTAAGCGATTGCCTCAAGTTGGAAAAATTCTCAGAGAAAATTTTAAGCCCAAACTTGGAAAAAGTTGATATTGTAGAAGGAGAAGAGGGAGATAAATGGTACTGGGAAGGTGATTTGAATGCAACAATTCAAAAGATTTTTACAGACAAGGTACCTACTACTGTACTTTAACATGATTTTAAGAATTTTATACTAATAAACCTAATAAGATGGTTATTAGCTTTTGATAATTTTGATTTCTAAATAAAAATTCTATAGTTTACTCTTTTATTTTGTTACCTTTTTCTCCTGGTCTATGTAATCATCACACTTCCTCGGTCTCTAAAATGCATATCCCCTTCTAGAGTTATCACTTTGTTCTTGGAAATATTATAATCAATTATCCAAGTCAAAGAAAATATTTTTATTCTTGTAGTGAAAAGTTGCATTCTTGTTACTTTATTGAGATTAGCCTAATGACATCTAAATTTATTTCATTTTGTAGGTTCTTTTTGAGTCCTGTCAGAATATGGAACTTTCTTGTTATCCTGGGCTACAACAACTATGGCGGGAAGAAATTTCCTCACCAACCAACTGCTTTAACAATCTAAGAACATTGATAGTGAAGAATTGTTCATTTCTGTCAGAAGTGTTTCCTTCTAGGTTACTTCCTTACTTTAAGAAATTGGAGGAATTGCAGGTAAGCTCGAGTCCAGTGAAGGTTATTTTTGATATTGATGGCAACAATTTGACAGAAATAAAGGGAAAGCCCTTTCATTTGAAAAGAGTGACTTTAGATGGATTGCAGAATTTGAAGTGTATCTGGAGCAAAGATCCTCATAGTATTATGAGTTTTCCAAATCTGAAAGAAATTGTTGTTTCTAATTGTGCGGGTATAAAAAATCTTTTTCCAGCATCTTTGGCAAGAAATCTGGTGAGACTCAAGAAACTTGAAATAAGGCAATGTCATGCTTTGGAAGAAATTGTCGGAAAGGAAGAAGCCGTGGCAGAGGGAGCTAGCAGAAAATTTGAATTCCACTATTTAACCACTTTGACTATGTACCATTTACCAAGCCTCAAGTTCTTTTATCCTGGAAGATACACTCTGGAATTTTCCAGCTTGGTGAGTCTAAGCGTGTTTGATTGTAATAAGTTGGAAATATTCGCATCTGATTTTCGAAGTCACCAAGGAGCAATAAGATGTGAGGATGAAGCCAATATTTCGGCTAGCAGAAAATCTCTTTTCATGGATGGAAAGGTAATTTGATCTTCATTTCCATCATTCCTTTACTTTCTTTTTCTTGTATTGTGAAAAGGAAGTATCTATTTACGCAAATCCTTATTCTTATTCTTTGTTGTTTGTTTTGACTAATAGGTTATTCAGAACTTGGAATTTTTAACTCTTAGTGGGAATGATATGATGATGTTATCACATGGATATTTTCCTGATAACCTGCTTCACAAACTAAAAACTTTGCGGCTGCACTTTGGTGATTCCTATGAAGCAGGCGCTACTTTGCCTTTTAAATTCTTTCAGAAGCTACCTAATTTAGAACGTCTTATGGTTAGTAATTGCAATGCATTGGATGAGGTGTTCCCCTCTCAAAGACCCAAAGATACTGATCATATCATCAATATTCTCGCACAAGTGAGAGAATTAGAGCTCGATTCGCTGCCTTTGCTCTCATCCATTGGGTTAGATTACTCCTGGGTGGACTCAATTGTTAAGAATCTGAGAGCGCTTCGAATGATGAATTGCCCTCGTTTGACTATTCTGGTGCCTTCCTCTGCATTATCATTTTGCAATTTGAAAGAATTGAGAATAGAGCAATGCCACGGGTTAGTTTCTCTGTTCTCATCTTCAGTGGCCAAGAGGTTGGTGCAACTTCGTCGAATGGCGATAACTGAATGTGGATCAATAACACATGTAGTGAGTCATGAGATTGATGAATCAGATTCAGATGATATAATATTTGAAAGGCTTAAATATATAACTTTGAGGCATTTGCCAAGCCTAGTGAGCTTTTATTCAGGGAATGCCACTTTAGAATTCTCTGCTCTGATAGTGCATGCCATCGAACAATGCCCAAAGATGAAATGTTTCTCTCAAGGGATTGTGAGAGCGCCCAACCTCAAAGGAATACAATATTTTAGGGACAACGAATCTGATTGGCACAACTACAGTGATCTCAACACCACGATGGGGAAATTGTTCAATGAGAAGGTAATAAGTATTCATTCCCCAGCATAATTACATACACGTATGACCATAATGACAATTTTAATCAGCATACAATCTGGTTCCCATTTTTAATTGACTGTTAATTTTTAATTAACTTATTATAATTATTATAATTTCATAGAAAAACATTTTTGAATTAGCAAATGACAAATAAATAGGAGTTGAATATCATTGTAATTTTATCGACTTAAACTACTTTTTCATTCTTTAGACGCCGGTGCTATTCTAGTTAAGAATAATTGTATATTTTTTTGGGTTACTTGGAGAAAACTGTAATAATCTTATGTTAGTCAAAACAATACCCCAAGTCAACATAACAACTAATTAACATTTATATTTGCAAAATTAGTAGCTTTTATACAATCAGAATAGTTCTAATACATATTTGCAAACTTTCTGATTTTTGATATATTACAAGATTTATTAATTTTGATTATATTTATATTATAAAACTTTACAATTCTAATTTTTCGTCACATTTGCTGAATTTTATTTATTTAATTTCTTTTAAATGGTCAAACATATATTTCAGCACACATTTTTATTTATCATATTGTATAAATTATTTGAATTTATAATTTAAAATTTTTAAACACACTTTTTCCTGTGAACATTTGCAAAATTGATTAGTTAAGTATAATTATAATTCCTAATGTCTCATTATGCAAGCAATAATTACTTTAAATAGCCATATTTTTACTCTTTTATGAGTATCTTGAATTAATAATTTATTATGTTTGCATATTTAAAGCAACGAAGCGAGCACGTTATTTTATTTAGTTTTTTAACTAACAACATCAACAAACTTTTAAAACGCTATACGTATTCAACTCTACTTACTGATGCTTCTATTTCTATTGGTTTTCATTCAAATATTTGAACTATATATCTTATATGTTTTTTTTTTCTTTTTTTGCCATTTCAAGCTCGATAGATGCAAAGCCATCTCTCTTTTCCTCATGTGTAATCACTATGCATCATGTTAATTCCCGTTTAATCTCATATTTGTTTCAACATTTTTATCTCAACTTCTCCAATTTTTTGCCGTCACCTTCCCACCGTTCTTTCCAACATAATATCAAGGCCTAACATTCATGGCCAGATGGCATCATTGGTCTTGTAAATATTTGATAAAAATTTCCTCTAAAATTAGCGCATATTTTTCAGTCAAAAATAATTTTTAATTCCTTCCTCTATCTCAACTACCCAACTCCTATCTTATATGCAAAACGTGTTGGTCAATGTCTTAGTTATTTTGCAATATAAATCTTCGTTATGTTGCACTTTAACACTTGTAAATTTATTGATTTTTGTTAAAATGAGTTTAATTACGTTGAGTCTATAAATGTTCTTGTAGAGGAAAGTTTAACTTTTTGCGTTAGAAATGAAAATGGCGAAACTATGTAATATTTCTTTTTTCTTTTTTTTGGCAAGCATAATATTCATTGAAATCCCCAAGAAAGTTGTGGGGAAAAAGCCGATGGTAAGAAGTGACAGGTGGCTGATAAACTGAAGTAATATTAATTATTTATGATTTGCGCATATAAATATTATGAAAGTCATAGAAATAACATAACTGAACTGTTTTGCTCGAGCAGCTTGAACAATTTACATGTGGTGTGCAAGAGTTAAAGCTTGGAGATCACCCTGAACTTGGAGACATATGGCAAGGTGCAATGTCAGTCTTAACTGGAGGCTTCAGCAAGCTGAAGACTTTGATAGTGGATCGTTGCCAATTTTTATCAAATTACGTGATCCCTTTCCGTTTGCTTGGCTTCCTGAGTAACTTGGAAGATGTAAGAGTACAAAATTGTGATTCTGTAAAGGCAATATTTGGGGTGGGATCGTTGTCTTCCCCTTTCTCTATTCCCTTGAAAACATTGACATTGCAACAACTCCCTATTTTGGAGAATGTTTGGAGTGAGGACCCTTATGAATTTCTCATCTTCCAATCTCTGCAACATGTCTATGTTCAAGAATGCGGAAGCCTTAAGAGTTTGTTTCCAGCATCAATGGCCCATGGCAGACTTGAAACCCTCGAGGTACTAGACGTGAGAGGTTGTGCGGGATTAATAGAAATTGTTGCAAAGGATGAAACAGTCCTAAGAGGGGCAACTTCAAACTCAGTTATATTTCCAAACTTAACCACGTTGGGTCTGTGGAGTTTGCCACAGCTCAAGTGCATCTATCCTGGATTAGACGATCCGGAATGGCCAAAGTTAAAGGTTTTTCAAGTATATCATTGTGATCAATTGAGAATCTTTCCAACAGATATGGAAGCTATTGTCTCAATTGAAAAGGTATTTTTCCTCTTACATATGTTAATTTTTTTTTTTAATTTGATGTGGCAACAATGACGTCCTCTTTAGTTGTGATTTTGGCCTTTTAATTTATATTTTGGTTTGTCCTCAACCAAAGTTGATCTATTCTTTTAAAAAACACTTGAAACTCAAAATATTGTTCATTTCTTTGATTAAGAAAAGAAAATGTCTGAAATAGATCCTATTACTAGCTTTTCAAGTCTAATAACAACAATTTGGTTCTTACCAGGGTTTTCCCAACCTAGAACAATTGTCACTGAACAAGGCAGACATCGTGAATATTAATCGGCAAGGAAAGTGTGAGGCAAACTTCATTCAGAAAGTGAAATTTCTCACATTACAATGTTTCCATGAGGACACAGATGGATTTCCATATGAACTCTTCCAAAAGGGGTCATTTCCCAATTTACAAAAGCTTCGAGTGGCATGTAGCAAGTTCAAAGACATTTTCAATTCTCAGAGACCTGATGTGGATCTTGAAAATGACATGTTTGCACATCTCAAAGGATTGGAACTAGTTCTTCTGGAATATCTGGAATCCATTGGATTAGAGCAGCCATGGGTAGCCCCAATGCTTGAAAACCTGGAAACCTTGCTAGTAAAAAGATGTCCTCGTTTGAGGAACTTGGTACCATCTGCTGTATCTTTCTCAAAGTTAAAGGAATTGGTTCTAAATGATTGTCGAGAATTGGTACATTTGTTCACATTGTCGATGGCAAGGAGTCTAGTTTTACTAGAGGTGCTGTCTATTGAAAGTTGTGCATCCATAGAAGAAATAGTGTCAAAAGAAGGAGATGCATCTCATGAAGATGATATTACATTCAGCAACCTTAAAAAATTGTCTCTTCTGTCTCTCCCAATGCTTGGCTGCTTTCACTCTGGGAATTCAACATTGAATTTCCCATGCTTGGAACTTGTCTTCGTCCGTCAATGTCCCAAAATGAGATTTTTCTCCAATGGAACCATAAATTCAACTGAACATCTACGAGTTTCAACCAAGGCTGTTGAATACAAAGATTTCCCCCCACAACAATTCACCTGCTCAAATCTAAATGCTTCCATAAATTTGCTTTTCCCTTTACAGGTAAGTGTGATCCCATCTTCCCATTTCTTCATTCATTTTTGAAGCTTTGCACCAGGCGTATGATATTTGTTTCCAAATTTCTATTATATGTATTATTGTTGTTCTCTTGCCCAAAAAAATTAATCACATATGCTCACATTATCGAAAAATGCTTCAGGAGATAACTACAAGATTTTATTTCAAAGTTAAAGAATATTTATCGTAATGTTTTTTCAAATACATATCTTCCAAGAATAATGCTAAATTGCTTTCAAAATTTCTCCATTTATCTTTTCCTTCACAGCACATCTTTACTATTAGATGAAATTTTGAACTCTCCTAATATAATATTTGACAAAAATATTATTAAAATATAAACTTAGAAAAATAAATAAATTCGAATTTTAACATTTGAATTAGCATCTCAATAAAAAAATTATTATGAAAGTTATAGAAATAACATAACTGAATTGTTTTGCTCGAGCAGCTTGAACAATTTACATGTGGCGTTCAAGATTTAAAGCTTGGAGATCACCCTGAGCTTGGAGATATATGGCATGGTGCAATGTCGGTCCCAAATGGAGGCTTCAGCAAGTTGAAGACTTTGATCGTGGACGGTTGCCCATTTTTATCACATTATGTGATCCCTTTTTATTTGCTTCGCTTCCTTAATAACTTGGAAGATTTACAAGTACGGAATTGTTATTCCATAAGAGCAGTATTTGAGGTGGGCAGCTGGTCCACCCCTTTCTCTTTTCCACTGAAAAGTATGACATTGGAAGAGTTACCCAATCTGGAGCAAGTTTGGAATGAGGACCCTCGAGAAATTCTCAGCTTTCAATCTCTGCAACACGTCTATGTTCGAGGATGTGGAAGCCTGAAGAGTTTGTTTCCAGCATCAATATTGAAACGCAAACTTGAAAGCCTTGAAATACTAGAAGTCATATGTTGTGAGGGATTAGTAGAGATTGCTGCACGTGAAGAGACTGCCTTGGAGGAATCAGCCAGAAATTTAGTTATCTTCCCTAGCTTAACTGATTTGAGGCTATTGAAATTACCAGAGCTCAGGTGCATCTGTTCAGGACTAAGCAATGTGGAATGGCCAAAGTTAAAAGAATTGGATGTATTTCAATGTGGTCAGCTCAAGAATATTGGATTGGAAGACAAGGTAATGCTGCTGTTACAATTTTATTTTTTTAAAAAAATTGTAGTTAATAAATGTGATAACCATTAATCCTCCTTTATCATTGTCGTTTCCTAATAGTAATATTTTTGATCCTAGGTTTTTCCCAACCTTGAGCATTTGTCACTTTGCAAGGAAGACATTATGGATATTCGGCAAGCGCCATTTCCTGAAAACCTTCTTCAGAGAGCAAAAATCCTCAAATTGCATGGCTTTTTTGATGATTCAGATGTATTTCCATATGGATTCTTCAAAAAGGAATCACTTCCCCATGTTGAAAAGTTTGCAGTGTCTCATAATAATTTCAAGCGGATATTTACCTCTGAAAGATCAGATCTGGATTGCTGTGCTGATGAGTTCTTTTCACAACTAAAAACTTTAGAACTGATTTCTCTATCGAAGCTCTATTCCATTGGATTAGAGCAGAGTCCTCTACCTGGAAACCTTGAAATCTTGAAAGTGACAAGCTGTCCCTGTTTAATAAACTTGGCTCCATCCACTGTGTCTTTCTCAATTCTAAGGGTTCTTGATGTGAGTGGTTGTGATGGATTGGTCAATTTATTCACATCCTCAACAGCTAAAAGTTTAGCTTCGCTTGAAGACTTGACAGTTAGTAATTGTGGATCAATGCGAGAAATAGTGGCTAAAGAAGAAGATGAGTCAGATCAACATGAGATAGCATTTGAGAATCTCAAAAACTTGAAGCTCAAGTCTCTCCCAAGTCTTGACAGCTTTTGCACAGGGGCTTACCATTTGAAATTCACATGCTTGGAACGAGTTTCAATATACAATTGCTCCCAAATGAAGGTTTTCTCTGATGCTGATATAGACGCACCAGATAATGTGACTATTGCTTCAAATGGTGATCTCAGAGACATGATAGAGAAGGCTTTTAAGAAGGCAACTTGAGTTATCAAAATTGAAACGTTTTGCGATGTTGTTGGCAGGTAAATAATTTAACAATCCATTTGAAGACCTACTTCTTATTAGGAAATCTACTATTATTAATTTAATATCCATATTTATGCTGATAGTTGTTTTTACTCACACACGCACTATTTAGTTTGTGACATCCTTTACTCAATTCTATTAGTTGTTTCAGGAAATCATCTTTGGGTGCAAAAGACAGGCTCATTCTGGTTCTGCTTCTCTCATACTACTTTAAAGCCCATTTGTTCAGTAAGTGACGCACTAACAACAATGTTGATGATTAGATGAGAAAAAGTAACAACTCAAAGTAATATGTTTATTCTAACTCGTACTGTCATTGTTTAAATTTTGCAGGTTGAGGTTATTAGGAATCGTCCGTGTGGTTTTCTGATTTGGGTTATTTAGAAACTGAAGACTGCTTTGCATGGTGCTTGTGTTGCAGATTGTAAGTTGTAATTTTCTCCCATCGCTTATCAAGACTAGAAAACTTTTCCAAATCCCATTTGGAGGTTGTGCCATTTGTATTTAAATCCGAGGCTACTTCGAAGCAACTATTTGAATCGCACTGAATGACGTTGTTTAGCTTAAAATATCATTTGCTTATGCCATCAACCATGTCTTTCTGGTAGTTTAGTAGCTGATGAAGTATCAGAGGATTCGTTCAGAACGTCCTCCCTCTGCTTCTTCCTCTGAAATTCTGGTTTCTTTGATTATTTGAGAGACTTAGCTTCCTCCTTTCTCACTTTTGCTTGAGCCTTTGGTGTTTTGGTCAGTTGTGCCGTTTGAACTTTCATTTATCAGCATTTCCTGTGACTCGAAGGAAGCTTGATAATCATTCAAACTCATTGTGCCAGGGTCTTTAATTAGACTCTTCAATAGCTGTTATCACATTCTGGGTTCATCATTTGATGTTTGTTGGATTATGTTTCAATTAAGCATTTTGTGTTCTATTTTTATATGCGTGGGCATGACATTTGGGATATTTTGCTTTATACATATATGTGGGTTTGTCACAATAGAATCCTTGAATTTGAGGGATCTGTCACGGATTTGTACATTTGTTAACATCCTTAACAGCACAAAGTCAAACTCTACTTGACAACACATGCAACTTTATTCGAGACGTACTGGCTAAACAAGAATATGAGTGTAATAGCATTTACGAAGCTCAAAAATTGGTCTCTAGATAGCTTCCACATAGGGTCAATGCTCAAAACTTGTTCTACCATAAGTTATTATGATATCTGATTGTGAATTGAGCAATCTATTATTCTGCGATATCCACCATTTGTGTGCTTACCTACCTACTCATGCAACACACACACAGAAGATTTAGGGGAGAATGATAGAAAGCAGAGGAGAAGGAACGGAAACAGAACAGAATTTGAAGCTAATTCGAAACGAAAATGAATCAAAACTTGCTTCTATGAGAAGTTTTTCCATGTTTATTACTGCTTTAATTTTGATCATTCGTTTCTGTCCTTTGAAGCAAATTAACAGCATCATTTATTATTTATTATCATTTGTTTATTTTGTTTTATTAGGTTCTGCTCTTCACACATTCCGCTTTGAGGCCAATTTGTTTAGCAAGTGACGCACGAAATCATATTGATAGATGATTAGAGGAGGAATAAAAGTTTATAAACCTCATATCCCAAATATAAGAGGTAGTTATTAGAAGTTTGAGTTTGGATCTAAGTATATAAGATGTCAATCTATTTTGTACTTCATACTTATTACTATTTTTCTTAAAATATCATTATTGATTATACATGTTAAGGGAGTTTGAATCAAGGAGCAGTTTCAACACTAATAATTTAAGAAAGTATTTTAGAAAACCCAACACATATTATTTATAAATAACTAATTTAAATTGTTTTCTCAATCTATTCAAATTAATTAAGTATATTTTATACTGGGAACTGGATATAGTAATATTCATTACTTAAGTATAATGAAGGCCATAGATTACTTATTATATATTTATGCCATCCTTAGTTTCACAAATATTGAAAGATGAATGAAGTTTTTCACTTCATGAGGAGTCAAAATGGCTATAAAACTGATGAAACAATAAATCCCCAAAAACTGCAAATTGTAATTGCTGATTATGAAAGAAACCATTCATGAGTACTCTGGATGTGCTAAAACAACTAGTTTGAATTTGCATCTACTGCCTCCTTGAAAACCGTGTTCTTCTATTTTCCAGTCCTCCCTTTACTGGGTCGCTCTTTACCTCTAAAGTCCAACCTCCTCTCATCCACACGGCATATATGTTTACTTCCTTTACGCCAGATTCCCACTTAAAAAAAAAAAAAACAATTGCCAACCGACTTTCCATATTCACTACACACACACACACACACACACACACACACACACACACACACACACACTTCCTCGTCTGTAATATATAATATAAGAGGTTGGTTAGAAAAGAGATGAGAATTAATGTAATTTTTTCATTTTAGCTCCTATTAAATATAGGAAAGAGATGAGAAAGAAGAAAGATAATAAAAGTGCAATATTAATGACACTTTTATCATTTTTGCACTTTCACCCTAATAATGGTAAGCTTTATTGTTTGAATTTTTATTTTTTATTATCATGATATGGTTTTTTTATTTATCATACGGTAGTTTCAAATTGCCATAAAATAATTTTTCTAAATTCGATACAATAGTAATAAGAATACACTACTTTCAATTTTCAATCATATTTCATCATTTTTCTTAATTTTATGTTTCTAGAAATATATATTACTTTCACTTTTCGACCATTTCTTTTTTTATTTTGGAGGGAATATTATAACATATGGAAAGAAAGAAAATATTCAAGAGGAAAGAATGGATCAGTGGATGCTATGTGATTTAGGTTCACCATAAATTCAACATATTGTATATGCAACTTTTTTAAGTGACTACTGTCTACCCCCAAACTATTTATTTAATTACCTAATTTAGTATTTAAATAATGATAATAAATATTTCACATTTTCCCCTACAGATTTATCTTATTTTTAAAATTTGTTTCAGTTTGGTTTTGATGAAAGTTGGACGTAGTCTTTGCCCTAGAATTGTTGGACAGAATGAAGCATGTTTCGAAGAGTCCAGTTACAACAACAAAAATGAAGCCGCCACTATAATATGAAGCACAAAATATCTACTATTTGAAAAGGCCCTTAAAATAGCCCATCTTATCTCATTTTAACAATTGGCCCAAACCCACATCAATTTAGTAAACTCAAATGGAACATCAACTTTAATCCTTTGGGTTACAATTCAGAGATTCCAGAAAGAAGAAATAATAGAGAGAAAAGGGAAGAATAACTCAAAAGAATAAAATTTAGAGAGGAAAATTTAATTATTTAACCAAAGCAAAGAAGATGAGAAAAACTCCACAATCGCAATGACCATCGCTAGATAATTTGTCGGCCCATTTGTCTAAATCAATCATTACATTTAATTTTAAAAAAATCTATTTATTTATTTTGAAGGTGGAATTGGAATTATACTTTAAGATACAACTTCCAGCTTGCTCTTATCATACGGAGGAGGTACAGGTGTCATTGGGCCAAGAGCCCATTAGCTAAAAAACTATATCTATTTGATTAAATGTATAAATGTAGTTATTTTAAAGTATCACATATACTTAATTATTTTAATAATTATTCAGCAAGGTTTCTCAATGGATTTTTTGTTAAAAATTCAATTAAAATTTTTACCTTCATTAAATATGTATTTATTTACTTAATGTTTTAGCATCAAGCTGACTTGTTTTGTCCTATATTTGTTTAAATAAAATAAATAGTAATACACTAATAGTAGGAGTAAGACATTACTTTCAAGACTGAAGTTTGTTTACTGAGTGGCAATCAAAATTTTTATTTTATATGTTTTTATTAGAAATTAATATTTTTGAAAAGTATATTAACTACTGTTAATTGATTAAAAATATTTGTTCTGTGTTTAAGATTTTATAGTAAAATTATGATAAACTTCTTTCTATGGACGAATAGTTGTTACTTGGCAATTGTATATGGGAAACTATCTCAAAATTTCTCCAATCTGGAGAGACTATATGATTTTTACAAAACTTTCTTCCGCTCAAATATGCCCTGGTATACATGTCAATGTCTTGGGAAGAGAGTGTTGTAAAATATAAAACACCTGAAAGTAGATCAAAGTACGAGGAAGTTGTTTGATTTCCAAATTAAGGTTAATACTTTGAACTTTTAGAAAAATCCAATGACATCACAAGAAATTAGTACAAGAACCTTTAAAGCAAGAAAAACACAATAATCTCCCTAAATATGCAAATCTCAATTCATGATCCCCAAAATAACCTAATCATCACTGTGAAGTTCTTAAAGATTAGCTTGAAATTAAATTTAGTAGCAAAGTTATCTAAATGCTCTTTTAATTTGAAGAAAAAGAAATGAAAATGAATATATTAATAAGCAACAGCTTTAATTTACCAAATGATAACAACAAATATGACATTGATCAAATTTCGATAAAATTATATTTCTCGATGAATATCAATGACTTTGATAAGTAACAAAACTACACTTATCAAATGATAATAGCTAGCAACTAAGATAATAATAGAAACTAATTTTACACAGAGCAATCAAGTCATTTTTTGCACCCAAAAAAAAAACTTAACTGCAGAATATTCTCTAAGCATTTCATAAAAATTAATTTATTTTCGAGGAACTATCTCAAGATTCTCATATTTCGATGTTGTATCTCTTTCTCTCCCGTTTTTTAAAATGTATGTCTTCACTATGCAATGGTGCGAACATTAAAAACTGACTGATCAAATTTGTTCAAAACCAAGAATAGATCAAATAAAAGAGAAAATGAATATGAAAGCATGTTCATTCCCTTATATAACGAACATCATTTGCCCTCCCACAAACAACACGATTAACCCATATATTATCGTAGAATAAATGATCTGAAATTGAAACTCATTCTTCTGACATCAACCTCTCCTATTTTCCCATTCCATTCCCAATCGAGCCATGTTCATGCTAGAACTTCCTTCTTGTTTCAGTTCTTCAACAGCATCATGCTGCAGAACTTCCATTGCTGCGCGAATTCTCATTCCGTCATCGCCAATCATCACTCTCTTTATCACCTTCGTAATCTCTTCCCTTTCCACTATTCCATTCTCATTGACCTTTACCCTCACTGCCAGGATTAGGCCATCGCTTAGAATAGCAGCATTCATTCTCTGCTCAGCAAACAAGGGCCAAGCTATAATGGGCAAGCCATGCAAAACACTCTCAAGTATAGAGAACCAGCCACACTGTGCTAAGAACGCACCAATGGCTTTATGACTAATAATCTCAACTTGGGGTGCCCAGCAAGAAACCAACATGCCTTGTCCGCCAGCTTTCACGACCCTTTCTACAAACCCATTTGGCAAAAGCTGTAAAGGATCTACTTTTGAACCAGTGAAGTAATTAGCACTTGCTAAATCATTTGGTTCTCTCACAACCCATAGAAATTTTTGACCACTCAGTTGTAACCCTAATGCTAGCTCATTCATTTGGTTTTGAGATAATGTCCCACCACTTCCAAAAGAGACATATAACACAGACCTAGGTTCTTGTTTATTCAGCCACCTTAAAAACTCAGAATCGTCATGATTGATCACATGATTGCTACTAGCCCAGCGACCCACTTGATTCACATTAGGTCCTACAGGATATATGGAAGGATGTTTATTACTTTGTTCTTTCAGCAAGGCTGGTATTGCTCCTCCTTCTAATCCTTCGAAGCTGTTCACCAAGATACCGTCAGCAAGATGTAACGCTTTAGAACGACGAAGAACGTTACTATAATCTTGGCTGGATCGATGTTGAAGTGAATTTGGAAGATCTCGACCATGAATTGGGATACAACTTGGGATGTTTATGTGTTCTGAAAGCTCTCTGAATTCACATGAAACTGTCTGGTTGAGCCACGATCAATGAAGACATAGAGAAAGAACCGAAGATGACAAGGGGAAATATATGTATGACAGTATGTTGAGTGTTTTGGCCAATTCTAATGGCTCGTAGGCTAGGTAATCAGCGATTAAAGCAACGAGCTTATTGGTTGAGTTTAGTGAGTTCAAAGCATCACGAATGGAAGGAATAGATTGGGACATTGTTAGAGGAACTTGAAGAGCAGGATGAATATTGGAGCCTTGAGGGAAGGTGACAGGAGGAAGAAGAATGGTGTGAATTTTGAAAGAAGAGAGAGAATCAATGAGGGATTTGGAAGCATTAGAGAGAGAATTTAGAATTGGAACTATGAAGGTGATATGAAGGTGTGGATTGATTTGAAAAAGGCGTTTGCATAAGGCCAAGGTTGAAGCTTGATGGCTGAAGGCAGGTATTGAGATTACTGCAATGTGACTTTTGGGCTCCATGGGAAACACTATGCGCGAATTGAAACTTCCTCTCTTGATATTTTAATTAGGGAAAATGGCCACAAAATACCATGTGAATTTAAAAAAACAAATAAGGCACCTGAATAAGTAAAATGACAAATAGAGTATTGAGTACCAATTTGGAATTCAGATTTTTGGCCAAAAGACCGAATTGCCCTGATTGTCTCTGAACATTGAGCAGTGTATTCATGCGATAGAGAAAGGGAGAAACTGATTTTCTTCGACGAAACTAAATCCAAGTTCCTGCAGTCACCAAAAAGGGTTCTTTGAAATCACATTGCCGCCGTCGCAAGAGTAGATTGCCGTCGCTGAATTTGGTTACCATCATTGAAATACATTGCCCTATCTGAAACAACTCGTACTCCCTGAGAATGTCGCTGTCGGAGAGATCGTTGAAGTAACACCAACTGTGATAAACAAGTAGGAAGCTTAAATATTATTCTTCATAGAGCATTTTCAATAGGTCCCTATAGCTTAAAATGTTATTGTCTAGCATTCCTCTTTTTGGTTTTGTCTCTGTTCTTCACATAAAACCGTTTTCAGAGAATGGGGTTGATTGGGAGCTCGGTAGCTAAGGAAGTGGGTCAAACCAGGCTGGAGAAAGCGAACGTTACGATCCTGTTGACCTTTCCTAAATTTATTATTCCGGTGGATGCAGATGGTGTTTGAATTTGAAAGGAGAACAAAGCCGTAATTTCTTAAGAAAAGAAAGATCATAGCGTGTATACTATAGCTATTGATTCAACCTCCTCCTCATATAAAGTCAGAAGATTGAGTCTCTGAAGCTAGGGTTTTCTAGTATTATTCAACCATTTGTCCTGAATTTTACAAAACACATATTGTGATTTACAACTTTCGTAGTGAAAGTGACCATTTTGTTAATGGGTTTTGCAACCTGTTTTCAAGAGATAAACAACTTGTTTGTAAAAACCAATAAAATTCCACGCTAAATTTGACAAAACATATAGTGGGATTTATAACTTCCATAGTGGAAAAGACCACTTATTCAATGGGTTTTGCAACCTGTTTTTAGGGGATGGGCAACTTGTTTCTAAAAACTAATAAAATTTCACACTAAATTTAACAAAACACATAGTGGGATTTACAACTTTCGTAGTGAAAATAATCACTTCTTCAATGGGTTTTGCAACATGTTTTCAAGGGATGGGCAACTTGGTTCTAAAAACCAATAAAATTCCATGCTGAATTTTACAAAACATATAGTGGGATTTATAACTTTCGTAGTGAAAATGACTACTTAAATGGGTTTTGCAACCTCTTTTCACGGGATGAGCAACTTGTTTTTAAAAAATCAATAAAATTTTACACTGAATTTTACAAAACATACAGTGAGATTTACAACTTTTATAGTGAAAATGACCGCTTCTTAGATGGCTTTTGCAACCTGTTTTCAGGGGATGGGTAACTTATTTTTAAAAACCAATAAAATTTCATGTTGAATTTTACAAAACATATACTGGGATTTACAAATTTTGTAGTAAAAGTGACCGCTTTGTTAATAGGTTTTGCAACATATTTTTGAGAGATGAGTAACTTACTTTTCACCACCAATAAAATTTCACACTAAATTTTACAAAACACATAATGGGATTTACAACTTTTATAGTGAAAGTGACCACTTCTTCAATGGGTTTTGTAAACCTGTTTTCACCGGAAGGACAACTTGTAAGTATAAATAAATCATTCAGTGAACATGCACCTGAAGTACATTACAATAAACATTGAACTATTAACTTTCATAATTAACTACATGTATAATAAAATCTACCATTCACGTAATGGGATTTACCAAAAACCAGCAGGCATATGACAACAGTTACATTACGTAATTGCTTGCCACTATTTTCTGATTTCTGCTTCATCATTCACTAAATACTGAATATAAACCCTCAAATGCAATAATCCTGTTCCTATTTCATCATGAAGCAGCCACAAAAATGAATAATCCAAATCCTGCCATCAACTTCTACTCACTCACGTAATCCTACAGGTTCACTCTCTCTCTTACTACAAATCCTCTTTCCCACAACCAAAACCCACCAAATCAACAATGTCTACAGAATAGTGATGCGGAGGAGTAAGGTAATAGCATTTCCAACATTCTTCTTTCCTTCTTCCTGTGTTTCATCAACGTCTTCCTCTGTCTGCTTTCTTCTCACTTTCATCTCCTTTTTACCTCACTCATCAGGGCAATTCGGTCATTAGGCCAAAAATCTAAATTCCAAATTGGTACCCAGTGCCCTATTTGTCATTTTGCTTATTCATGTGCCTTATTTGTCTTTTTAAAATTCACATGGTATTTTATTGTCATTTTTCCTTTTAATTATAGGGTCTTCTTTTGATCTATGAGCACGATATTAAAGTGTAAATTTATAATAATATTGTGAAGTCAATGATAATACTTTAGAGATATTGACAACTGTTTAAGAATCTAATGTCTCCATCATCTTAATTACTGATCTCTAAGATTAACCCTGTAAATTAGGTTCTGTTCAACGTGTTATATATATAAGACATAATTGTATAAACTAAGACTATCTAGTTTTAAATGTGAGAGCTTGATAATTAATTTGTAATTAAATAAGTTAGTTATTTGTAAAAAAATATGTATTAGTTACCTAAAGTAATATTTTTAATTATTTGCATTGAAAACTACTTCTTTATAGAAAACGCCTTATTATGTTCAATTGATATATATATATATGTGAATGTTTAGGAAAAAATTATAAATCTAGATTGAAGTCTTACATTTAAAATCGAAACTAACATGTCGACTAACTCTTATATTTAAATCCAGATTGAGCATAATATAAGTCACTTGCACTCTAAGCTCGCAAACTAAGAAATACATTAAATTAATAATTTTTTTATCCCTTTTTCCCTTATTAAAGGAATGGTATTAAAAAAATATGTTATATTTTCTCTCACCTATTTAAGTTAACTTGGGTAAAATTAGAAGGAAAACAAAACTCATTAATTACTCTTCAAGTGACCTATATTTAGGAATAAACTTTTTTTGTATAAATGACTTATAAATAGAAATAGAGTAGTATTTGGCATGGGTGAAAAAGAAAATCTCTTGTTTGGCGTGTGTAATTTACCCTAAAAATTGCGTTAAAGTAATATGAAGTGTGCAACAGGGATTGCAACTTGTATTATTTCTGATGACACATTTTACGCCTGTTTCTAAGCTTTTTTTTTTTTTTGGTTCAATTCACCCGTCATTGTGATATTAATTAATGTACATGGATAAATAGTGCGAGGCAATAATACTGTAAAGTCAAAGATAACACTCGGCTTGGTCCTTCTTATAAACCACTTCTGAGCACCTCATCAAAACTAAGGAAAGATAGTTAAGTTATTAACCTTATCTAAAATTTAAAAAAATTATCCATATTTAAAATTAATGAGATTTTATATAGGGGTAATCTTAAAAAATATAATTAACACTCCATTTGGTGACTTATAATAAGGATCATTTATTTATTTCTCTCCTGAAAGGTATCCTATAACAAGAGTCAGAGGGAGTAGGTAAAGATTAAGAATCTAATCACGTGTCCCTAAATTATATTAAAGTTACACTTGCATATGGGAAATTGGGCTCATGCCTACGATCCTTTCGTTATGGGAATCATGACTACGATCCTTTCGTTAAAAATATTTTAATAGTAATTGATTTAACCAAAACGGCCAAGCTACAACGAAACCTAGTACACCTTAGTTGCATGTGATATTATGGTCAACGATCTCTAATAATTACTCCATGGGATAAGCCTCTTTGAGGTATATACTATACTACTACCGGTTCTAAATGTAAGGGCCAGTTGATACTTCTAAATGTAAAACCCTAATCTATTTTTTCTTTCAAATTTATAATGTGTTCTCAAAAATATCTCTATTGGTTATAAGGCACACCAAAGTGTAGTTCAATGTACATAATTAAATAAGCGTAATTTAAGAAAATCAATACATATTTGTAACAAATAACTAACTTAACTAATTTTCTTAATCTCTTTAAATTAATTATTTAACTTTTATATTAAGAAACGGAGGTAGTATTACTCATTTCACTGCTTTTTATAAGAGACAATCAGGGAATACGATGTGTTCTTTTTTATAAGAGATATTTAGAATTTGTCTTAAGCTTTCTTTGTTGATTTTCTAATTACTTATCACTGTGTTTAATTTTCATACATTATCTTTCCATCATACATTTTTTCTCTTCCACATAAATGAGGATATTTTTAGGGGAAAAAAGATTACATTTTTTACATATTTATGGTCTCCAACTCATTGTAACCAACATTTCGAACAACGTTAATTTTCTCTTACAAAAACAGAGGGAGTACTACTGAACCTATTTAAAAGAAGCCGCAGGTAATACTGTATAAATTACGTTGAAGTAAATGTGATACATACAACTTGGATGCTTGCATGATCTGTTTATGATATATATATATATATTATGTGCCTCCTTTCACATCCTCATCGCTTAATTTTATATTGACATCGATAAATGCACAATTTTGAAAAGTCAATGATAATAGAGATAATCATAGATGAACGGCTGTTTAAGACTCCAATATATGTGTTTCTAAAATAATATTAAGAGAGTTGCAATCTCATGTGAATTGTGAATGTGATCATGTCTCCATCGTGCATCTTAGTTACAGGAACATATATAAAGCCTATACTTTTCTATTATAAACAAATTGAGTTACTAAGAATTAGCCAGAAACTGTGTGGATTTTTTGTGGATGATTAATGGTCCAAACAGATAGGACGAAACTAGGGTTTAAGGGACTAGAGTATATAATTACAACAAAATATTTGTCGATAGAGCACAACGTTGGGCAATCCATATAGCCAATTCCATCTAGTGGGATGAGGCTTGTTGTTGTTGTTGTGTGTATTAAAAAAATTGGAGTATTATTCTTTTCTATAATATTATCAAACTTACAATTCAATAAATTTCTATTTAATGCTTTATCAAACTATAAACAATGTTGAGTCAAGGCCTTCTTGTAACATAAATGATATCAAACACTTGTCTTAAGGCTTTTTTAAGCATGAAATTTTGAGTTCGAACCCTTTGCGGGGAATATAACGGGTGTGTGTGAATTATATGGGAAAAAAACAATGCCAAGATTCCTGGTTGGCTTGAATTGAACTCCTTCTCTATTGATCGCCGCCAAGCAAAGAACAGTAGACTTCTTATATTCAGTTCCCCACTTGCTTAATGTTGACTTTTTAGAACTCTTATTTAAAAAATTTCAAAGTATCGTTTCCCATATGTGCTTTCATTTATTTCACATGAAATCGCGTGCACTACTTGTAAATTATGATATATTATTTTTTATTTTAATAATAAGCTTAAAAAAATAATTACTATATATTTATATTATATTTTTTGTGACGGAAATTAGTAATGGAAAAATTTCATCACTAATTTCCGTCACAAAATATTTTGTGATTGGAGTTAGTGATGGATTAGTGATAGAAATTAGCGACGGAAAAATTTTGTGGCCAATTTTCATCATGAATCATTTAAAGTAGAATCAGTGATACCGTCACTAATTTTTGTCACTAATCATTTAAAATAGAATCAGTCACGGATTTGCAACAAAATTTAGTGGCAGAATAAAATTTCATTATTAATCCATCGCTAATTTAGTGACCAAATAAAATCTCATCACTAATCCGTTGCTAATTTAGAGACAGAAATTTTTCATCTCTAAATTTTGTCACTAATTTTAGTAACAAAATTCCGTCACTAATCTCCTTTTTTTTTTTTTTTGGTAGTGGAACATCATTTGCCCTGCCACAAACCATACGATTAACGCGTATATTATCACAGAATAATATATTAACGCGTATATATTCTTCTAACATCAGCCTCTCATATTTTTCCATTCCATTCCCAATCGAGCCAAGTTCATGCTAGAACTTGCTTCTTGTTTCAGTTCTTCAACAGCATCATGTTGCAGAACTTCCATTGCTGCGCGAATTCTCATTCCTTCATCACCAATCATCACTCTCTTTATCACCTTCGTAATCTCTTCCCTTCCCACTATTCCATTCTCATTGACCCTTACCCTCACTGATACATTTAGGCCATCGCTTAGAATAGCAGCATTCATTCGCTGCTCAGCAAACAACGGCCAAGCTATAATGGGCAAGCCATGCAAAACACCCTCAAGTATGGAGAACCAGCCACACTGTGTTAAGAAAGCACCAATGGATTTATGACTAAGAATCTCAACTTGGGGTGCCCAGCAAGAAACTAACATGCCTTGTCCACCAGCTTTAACGACCCTCTCTAGAAACCCATTCGGTAAAAACTGTAAAGGATCTACTTTTGAACCAGTGAAGTAATTAGCACTTGCTAAATCATTTGGTTCTCTCACAACCCATAGAAATTTTTGACCACTCAGTTCTAACCCTAATGCTAGCTCATTCATTTGGTTCTGAGATAACGTCCCACCACTTCCAAAAGAGACATATAACACAGAGCTAGGTTCTTGTTTATTCAGCCACCTTAAAAACTCATAATCGTCATGATTGATCACATGATTGCTACTAACCCAGCGACCCACTTGATTCGCATTAGGTCCTACAGGATATATACAAGGATATTTATTTGTTTGTTCTTGCAGTAAGGCTGTTATTGCTCCTCCTTCTAATCCTTCGAAGCTGTTCACCAAGATACCGTCGGCGAGATGTAATGCTTTAGAACGATGAAGAAAGTTACTATAATCTTGGCTGGATCGATGTTGAAGCGAATTTGGTAGATCTCGACCGTGAATTGGGATACAACCTGGGATCTCTATGGGTTCCGAAAGCTCTCTGAATTCGCATGAAACTATCTGGTCGAGCCAGGACGAATGTAGACATAGAGAAAGAACCGAAGCTGACAAGGGGAAATATATGTATGACAATATGTTGAGTGTTTTGGCTAATTCTAAAGTCTCGTAGGCTAAGTAATCAGCGATTAAAGCAACAAGCTTATTGGTTGAGTTTAGTGAGTTCAAAGCATCACGAATAGATGGAATAGATTGAGACATTGTGAGAGGAACTTGAAGAGCAGGATGAATATTGGAGCCTTGTGGGAATGTGACAGGAGGAAGAAGAATGGTGTGAATGTTGAAAGAGGAGAAAGAATCAA